TCCTCCTCTGACTGAAGTGCTGCCTCAGTCTGACCTTCTGGTTGCTGTTATTGCAATCTCTTGATTGAAATAGCACTTGTAGGTGAATTATGAGTTCTTGGATCTGTAGTGTATCCCACTGAGGACAGATTTGTTTCACTTTCCTTGAACTGTCTTTATGAAGGCAAGTCACGTTTTTTTTTTAAACCTCTATAATTTTCATGTTCCCGCTGACTATATAGTTAAGAACATGTATTTCTTATCTATAAAACATTGCAGTGGTTTCAGTTTCATGTTTTCTTTTTATTTCAAATCTTTATAATGAGACTAATTTAGTTCAGCCCAATAAAATGTTTTAAGGTCTTTTTATTAAAGTGGGAATTAGAATAATTATCATTATTTATAAAATACTGCTTCATATAAAAGGAACTCCAAAGAAATTTTAATCACTTTGTAACATTGAAGCAGAAATGCACTTAAAAATTCATGAATATAAAATAAAACATGCCTCAAAAAATACTGTGTGCATAGCCAACTTGTGTTTTAGAACAGAACTAGGAATGTTGTGTTTACATCTAAATAAGCCTCCAAACCAGAAAATTCTAAGAAGACATCCCCTAATGTAATGATAAATTTATTTCCTCAATTGTTTAAAACAAATCAGTAATGAGTATCAATAGCATGTCCAGCATGCTTCTAGTCTGCTGTTTATCTGTGTCGGTAAATCTGCCAGACATGTGGTTGCCAAGGTGACAGGCAACATGAAGAAAAGAACACATGTGAACCGAGATGTGGTATATAGTTAGGTTAGGATTACTGTTTTTTTTTTTGGTGGGGTGAGACATCAGGGATAGAACTCAGGGGCACTCGACCACTGAACCACATCTCCAGCCCTAATTTGTATTTTTTATTTAGAGACAGGGTCTCACTGAGTTGCTTAGTGCCTCACTTTTATTGAGGCTGGCTTTGAACTCGTGATCCTCCTGCCTCAGCCTTCTGAGCCACTGGGTTTACAGGTATGTGCCACCATGCCCGGCTAAGGATTACTATGTTTTCTTGTGTTAAAAAAATTATTTTAATTAGTTATACATGACAGTAGGGCGCAGTTTGATACATCATATATAATGGAATGTAATTTCTCATTCTTCTGGTTGAACATGATGTAGAATCACACTGGTTGTAATAATGTCTGATTCATTCTACTATTCTTCCTTAGTCCCTCCCTTCCCTTCACTCCCCTCTAACTAATCTAAAGTAACTCTATTCTTCCCTAGCCCCGCTCTCCCGCAATTTGGCATCCTCATATCAGAGAAAATATTCAGCTTTTTGTTTTTTGAGATTGGCTTATTTCACTTACCATGATAATGCTATAGCTTCATCCATTTATTGGCAAATGCCATAATTTCAGTCTTCTTTAAGGCTGAGTAATATTCCATCATTATATATATATATATATATATATATATAATGCCACATGGGAAGCTAGAGTACAGATATATATATCTGTTAAAGGACACCTAGGTTGGTTCCATAGTTTAGCTATCTCACCCTACACAGAATGGCAATTATCAAGACTACAAAGAACAATAAATGTTAGTGAGGATGTAGGGAAAAAGGTATACTCATACATTGCTGGTGAGAATGCAAACTGGTGCAACCATCATGGGAAGTGGTATGGAGATTCCTCAGAACGATCATTTGACCCAGATCTCCCACTTCTTGGTTTATACCCAAAGGACTTAAAATCAGCATACTGCAGTGATGCAGCCACATCAATGTTTACAGGAGCTCGATTCACCATAGGATTACTATTTTGACATGAATAGTATTTCTCAACAGGATCACTGTTACCTTTTGTGTGTGTGTGTAATTTGTTTTGTGGGACTTTAACATTATACAACATTCAACAACTGTGGCACTGCAGGACTTCACAGCATCTAGGGCATCCAAATGGCCCTTGGGAAATATGATATGGGTAAAATAGCCCTCAGTTGAAATTCACTGGTACAGATGAGGGGCCAGCCAAAAAACTTCTGTAAAAAGCAAGATAATAAATATTTTCAGCCTTGTGGGCCATATGGTCTCTGCCATAATTACTGAACTCTGCTGTTTTATTATAAAAGAAGCCATAAGACAATAAAAAGTGTAGCTGTTCTCCAATAAAACTTTATTTACAAAATCAGGTGCTGGGAAGATTTAGCCTGTGGTCTGTAGTTTGCCATCCACTCCACATATTCCACAAGTCCACCAAGTGGGCACAAGGAATATTATTTGAAAAAAACAATCAGTAGTAGTATATTAAGAGAGTTTGGCTACAAATAATATGAAATAATAGCTACTGTTATTAAAGGTAGCATGATTTCAGCCTTGGTTAATCTAATGTATTGTTATCATGAGAGAGCAAGGTATTTTTGCATCCTTCTACCTGTTTATCCTTGGTGTTATCACGATTGCCTCTCATGGTCTTATACAATCACAAAGTGTCATTCCTGGTTATAATACTGCACAGGGGAGAATAAGATGTCAGTGTATTCTCCAGGAAAATCTTTCCCAGAAATCCATAGCTGACTTGCTCTCAGATTCATTTGACTCATTCCCAAACTTGTACTAAGAGATGGGGAAAGAGAAAGGTTCCACATATTTGGCATAGAATTATTGTGATTATTTTCCTTCTACCAGAGAGGGATGCAGCCTTAACCTATTCCTATGAATGCTCAATATCTGAATGAATTATGATTGTGTTTATAAAAAAGAGCAGGGGGCTTTAGGAAGGGGTGGATGTAGCTGTTTGTGAGACATAGTCTTTTATATCACAATTCAAACAAAATTGTATCTTAAATGCTAGTGAGGCTATACTCTGTTTCCCGAGTAGTCAAAGCAGGAGCATTTCATTAATTCCTATCTTTGATCAGAGGAGAAACAGGAGCGAGGGCCAACTTTCTACCCATTGATTATAGGTCACCTCTGTATAACTGGAGAACACAGGCGGTGCCCCTGCCCCCTGCTGAAGGGGCAGTAATGCCAGTGCAGGAAGCTTGTATTTATACCTAGTTATAAACTTTACTTGATGGTCCTTAAGCAACTTCTAAAATTAGCCCCAGGTAATCATACATGTGAGTGTATCATCGGATCTGGTTTGTATTATAAGAACTGAAAATAATTTACTAGAAATCATTCTCAGTGAAACATTATAATTATTTATTTTGGTGTAGAAGTGAATCCAGAAGACCAACTGCTTCTTTTAGGTTCATAAAGTTGTTGCCCTATGGTTTCAGATGCAGCAGGTGATTTGCCAACAGAATCCTTTGGGTGACAGGGAGACAGAGTTATAACTAGAGACTGGCTTCCCACCTTTGTGTGCTGAATTATATTATGGTTTTGCTGCAGCAAAATGCCTGCTCAGAAGACCTTGTGCTATTCAGTAGGGATGGCTGAATCAAGTTCTGAGATTTTTTTTTTCCTGGAGCTTTTTCTGCATTTTGAGCTCCTGAAGGTATGGGTGTTGGAGTTGAATAAACACCACTAGATAGACCTCTGTTTACTGTAGCTACTGTTGCAGAATGACACTGTGATATTTTGTAGGTAAGTTCATCCAGGAGACCTTATTTTGCATCTTCCTTGCATCAGTTCCATTTGGAAGTAGCTTCTTTTTTATGCCAATCTTTTACCTCTCTGTTTATTCAAAAAATGTTAAATCCATAGTCCTGTCCTCAAGGACCTCAGCATCCTAGAGTGAAAGAGAGATAATTGAGAGAACAATTAAGTAGAGTGTAATTTATGGCACACTAGAGGGAAGCTTCATGTGTTCTCAGGGCAAAGGTTCACCTGAGCAGGTCAAGAAATGATGCCCAGTTGAATCTCAAAGGGTAATCACAGGCAAGTAGAGAAAACAGGGGTCAAGTTTTAAAAAAGCACTGGTAGTATGAGAGAAATCAGGATATCTGGAGTATAACCAGCAGTTCATAAGTCTTATGATGGAAGGTAGACAAAAGCTGAGTAATGATCTATACTGGAGGACAGTTAATGTATTTGGAACTTTACCCTTAGGCAATTAGGGTTATCCCATAACAGGAAAGTGACATATATGTAGCTTATATTTTGGCAAAACAATTATGGCTGCAGAATTGAGGAGAGATGAAGGGAGTAAGATTGAAGGTATATGACCACTGGAGAAGTTGTTTCAGTTATCTAAGGAAGAAATGAGGGAGGCTTGATTAAGTCAGTGGGCATACAGAAGACATAAGTAATGGTTGTGAAATATGTGGAGATAGAACTTATCCTTTTTGTTTTTTGAAGAAAGTGAGAGAAAGTAAAGAGATAAAAAAAATTGACCCCTGAATTTCTGTCAGGGCTTGACAAATGCTGCTTCTGTTCATGGATATATGACTATAGGATTTTGACCTACCTTGTGCGGAAAATGAATTCATTTTCAAGGATGTTGAATTTGAAGCACCCGGAAACCTGGAAAATTGTATATGGAGGCTGGAACTCAGGCAAGATGTGTGAATGACAGAAAAAGATTTGGGAATTTTCAGCATCAAATAAGCCACTTCTGTGAATGAGGCCACTTAGACACTGTGAAGAGTGGGGATGGAAGAGGGACGGTGATGGAGTTCAGGGTGGCATTGTGAAGGCATGGGTGGAGAAGAGGAAGCTGTAAAGAGGACTAAGAATAAGATGCTGAGAGGATAGAGGAAGCCTAAGACAGTGTGGTGGCTTACCATCAGGGAAAGAGCAATACCGTCAGAATACTGCAGTGAGGTCAAATAGGAACTGAAATGAGCCCCTGGATATTTTGAGATGACATTTGTTTTTATTTAGATAAAGGATGTGTGATTATTATATAAGTTGCACAAATATGTAGGAACTGAAAAACTGTGTATTTGTCACCCTAAATCCTATCACTCAGCATAACTACTGCTAAAATTCTGATATGTATCTTTCTAGACTTTTTTCTATATGCAAATATATTCTCTATATCAAGATATATATCTATATATAACACAATGAGTTCATACTATAAAAATAGGGGATGCTGCATGAATTTCTTGTCATCCTTGCCCAGAGACCATGATAATCCTCTCCACATCCTTCCAATTTTAGTGTTAAGCTGCAGAACCACACAGTGTCCATTGGCTTCAGGAACTGAAAGATCATTTGTAACTTTGCAGGACTAATTTTGGTGGAGTGGTGAGGTCAGAAGCCAGATTGTTGTGGGATGGGGAGTGAGTAGGTAGCCTGGAAATGGAACAGGCATCATGGACTAGCCTTTCAAGAAGCTGGGCTGTGAAGGGAGAGGGAAATATAGAATGTCAAGAGTGGCAAGCTCAGGGAATCTTTGGGTGTGTTTTAGATTTTTAGATGGACAAGACTTTCTTTCTATTGACTGTAAAGAGCTAAGGAAGGGTTGAGCACACAGAGAAGAAAGTGTGTCGGTGAATTAAGGCTGTCGGCAGGAAAGGTTGGAATTGGGGTGTAGGGAAGAAGAAAGAAGCCTCATCTTGCATTAAGGCACTAGGAATGAGGTAAAGGTGGGAACAGATGCTGATGAATTTGCAGTTGTGTCACCCGAGGTGATTCTGATCACCTCAGAATGAAGATGGCTGATACCCAAGTGTCTTGAATTATTTGATGAAGTCTTTTGAACTTGCATGAAACAAAGAACTACCATATTGGATCAGACCCATTGTCCATTCTCTCAGATCCCAAGAGTATCACCAAGAGTCAAGGGTTGGTTTTCCCTAGCAAACTAAATGGTCCAAAATAGTCACCAAACACTTTAATTTCTTTAGCTAAAACATTAGGGATTTATTATCTGTATATTTCTGTGAAGCTTCTTGGAGCTATTAGCCTGTATTCTCCCTAAGACTTTACTACCTGTGAAATGAAGTACTGAACATTTTTAGAAAGTTCCACAAACACAAATTTGGAAGAGATTGTGGTTGAATTCCACAATTAACCTTGGAAAAAAATGACTTCACATCCTTATGTTTAGTCCCATTAACCTGCAAACCTGGTATAGCATCATGTGGTCTTACAGTAATGGGAAGAGAGTATAAGGTGATATGTGTGAAGTACCTCAACAGCAGCTACTAGGAGTGACCACTCAGCATGAATTAGTGACCCCCTGCTTCGCCATCTTGTATACATGCTGTCACTCTCAAAGATTGAGGGCTCCCATCTACTCTGGAACACCAGGATTTGATGATCAGAACTTGAAACTATTATTAATGCTAATAAATTTTGACCATTGATTGGGAGTGTTCAGGAAAATCTTTTTTGCTGTGAAATGTAAATATCATGTATTTAGTAGAAAGGATCATACTGCCTCCAAATGTAGAGACTTAATAGAGCCACATTTGCATTTCCTAAATGCCATGATATTTTACTTTTTTGTGTTTACAAAAGCATGTCACCTGAGGTATTATTATTATTATTTGGCTCATACACACTGAATTAAATGCCACAGATGACCAGAAGGAAACCTGAGTTATTGTTTCTGTTTTTCACTTACAACTTTCTGTATTAACAGATTTAACAAGGTAATTTACAGAGGGGCTGAGACCACTGATGCTAAAATATCAATCCTCACTTTAAAAGACTTCTAATCAAGTATCATCACTCTAATATGGTATGACCTCTCAAGTCCTGTAATTCAATTGGAAGGACAGAGCTAGCAAGATGCAGGCCAAGTTTTGTCCCTTCTTGAATAGCTGTCACTGTATGCAAAGCAGTACCTGTTTACATTCACTCCAGAGAATAAGCAGCCTCTTTACGACTTGGAAAACTGCATGAGGCAGGGATATTAGGCTTAAATCATTTCCTTATGAGTTTCTGCAGTCTAATTCCTTATTAAGTCACCAGCACACGTGTGGATTTAACTTTGACTTTTAAAATACAATATAATAATCCATTTGCTCTTGCTTTAAAAATACATGTTCGGCACATGCCTATAATTCCAGTGGCTCAGAAGGCTGAGGCTAGAGGATCACAAGTTCAGAGATGGCCTCAGCAACTTGGTGTGGTTCTCAGCAACTTAGCAACACCCTGTCTTAAAAAAAAAAAAAAGAAAAAGAGTGAGATCCTGTCTCTAAATAAAATACACAATAGGGCTAGGGATGTGGCTCAGTGGTTGAGTGCCCCCAAGTACCAAAATAACAACAACAACAACAAAAAAAAAACCACCAAAAAACAAGGACTAGGGATGTGGCTTAGTAGTTATGGCTAAGTATCCCTGCGTTTAATCCCCAGTACAAAAAAAAAAAATTCTTTGGTACTAATTAAGTATTCTTATAATCATTTCACTGTTTAAAATAGCTCCTACTTATATCTTCACTTTTTTTATATTGTATTATGATTACTTTTTCTTTTTTGACTGTCCATCCTGGAGTTAATTCAGTGTCTTCTTATAGACTTCCTTGCTGGCTTTGAGTATTTATGTCATTAATTTAAAAATGTACTTACTGTTTCCTCATTATTCTGCTGAACAAACTACCTAATACGGGTCCATCAAGATAGTAAATGCTGTTGGTTATTACAACCTGATCTCAATGCCCTGTTGAAATGGAAGGATGGTCCCAAACATGCCCATCCCCAGCTAAACTCACTCTCTAAGCAAAGCTCTCTGGTGAGTGGTTTCTGCTTTTACAAATATCAATCAAAATTGAGCAAACATAATTCACCTGAGTGTTTCCCATAGCTTCTGGCAGGGCTATTCACGCCCTGGCAGGTTAGTACATATGCACTGAATGAATGATGGATGGATAAATGAATGAGGCAAGGGACAGTAAACTTTCTATCTTGATGTGGGTTATGGGATATGACTTCTGTGCTAGAATACTGAAGTCATTCTAGGAAGAAATCCACATTTTTTGCTTTTTCAGATAAATGGCTTCAAAAGGTGTGCGTTGAATCAAAACTCTTCACATAAGACCATTATTTTTGTAGTCATGATTCAAATATAGGTATACTTCCAAATATATATGTATATATTTCCAAATCCACAGGTACTTATTACAGTTTTTTTTTCTTTTAAATACCAGGGTCTAAACTTGGGCACTTATCCACTGAACCACATCCCTAACCCTTTTTTGTATTTTATTTAGAGACAGCGTCTCACTGAGTTCCTTAGTGTCTCATAATCCTCCTTTTTCAACCTCCCGAGCTGCTAGGATTACAAGTGTGTGCCACCGAGCCCAGCTTTAGTACAGTTTTAGTAAATATCTGACACTGTGAAGGGGCAGAGGCTGTTGTCCTTAGGTGTGTTTAGAAGAAATAAACTTACATTAAACAAATAGAGACCAATATAAGTCAACTTGTGTTCAAGCAAAATACTAGTGGCAGCCATTTTAAGTATTGGTGGATTACAGAGAAAGGAAAAGTCACGAGGGCCTTAGTATACAGGGAGACTTCATGAAGCTGATGGAACCTAACACAGCCTTGAAGACAAAAGGCAGTTTGGGTTGATGAGAAGAAAGGCTTCCTAAGAGGCAGAAGTGACTTCAACGAAAGCAGACCTTACTTGTTTCCTGAAAAAAGCCCCAAAGTTAACATGTTCCTGAACAAGAGTGGGACCCAGTTTTAAAGCATAGTAAACAAACACTACTGATCTAGCTTAAGTACTTCAGGCATCTGTTTTTCCAAAGTACTTAAATAAAAAGAAACCTGAGTATAAATGATATTTTCTAAACAATTATCATGATATTAGTTGTTTGAAGTTCCTAGGAAGTATTGAACAAACAGTAGGTCTAAAAGTATTTCTGAAAGACATTTTAAAAACTATAATCTTGGGGAAATAGTCTGCACAATTCAGAAAATAAAGAACTGATACTAGAAAAAATAGGTAAATACCTTAGATCTTATATCCTATGTGTGTACTTGTTCAATATTTGCAAAGGACCTAATACCCTACTATGTCTTAGAGATGATAGAAAAAAAAGAAACAATCTTCATTTTTGCCCCAGTGAGTTAATAGTCTAAGTCAAAGGAATGTCTGTTTCTTCATGGGCCAGTGAAGACAAATATTAAGATCTTCTGTTAGGACTATAAACGCAGACGTGTTTTAAGAGTTATGAAAAAGGTACATGTGGTACCAGCATTTAGATGTCAGAGGATGAGAAGGAAGGTCTTGCAGGTGGGAGTTTTGGGAAGAGTCCTGAATCTCATGTTATCAAGTGATCCAAGCTGAGTTGGAGCAGAACTTATTTTGAGGGTTAGAACGCAGAAGCACTGGCTTGGTTACAAAGAGTACTTTGACTAGCTGGAGAATTAAGCAGTCAATCATTCCAGTTCCCTAGAAGAGGAACATTTAAGATAATTAGTTAGGACTGAATTATACAGACATCTAAAGGAGGACAATTTGGTGGCTATTTTGCCGTACTCTGAAAATGAAATGTTAAGATTCTGGTGGGAGATTGGAGTTACATAATCATTGCATATGGAATTCTAATTTACAGGAGGTTAGAGGGACAGAGAATAGGTTAATTGCCAAAGAAGCCATGCTTCTATTAAATAATTTGAAGTTACTTTTGGACTGTAAAGATAATTCCTCAAAATATGTTATCTGGAATATTAACAGCTCTGATTTTGGGTTGTTGTGATCTACTGCCCAAATCTGAATTTCAGAATAGTAAGTAAATAGAATAATGTTAACATTTGGCCACATACATTTTGTTTAGCAATTTGAGTTCTCAGTAGGACATTGGAAACCTGACATAGCATGTGGAGTGCACTGCCTACCTTGATATTTTATATGTTCACACCCAAATGGAAAAAAAAAATCCACAATTTAGGAGTTGATTGAGTTTGCTTATGCTTCCAAAATGAATTTAAATTGTGGAACTATGAATGAAGTGAGAATCAAGGAAATGAATTTGACAGATTAGCTTTCATTTTTAATTTCAAATTACTGACTTCCAAATAGCATACTCCAGAAGTAGTGAATTTCTATTAAGTTGCCTCATATTATTTTTGTTGTAAGTATAAAAACTCACATAAACAAGACATGGACATAGTTGTTTCTTTTTAATCAGCAACTCTTAACTATATACTATTAGCCTCAATTTATCCCCTGGAAGGGGTTGAGATGTGGAGCTTTCTTCATATATCTCTCTTTTTTAGTTAA